TGTGGGATTTATTTTTAACATCCRGGTGGGAGTTAAAAAATAAAGTGGGATTGTTGGTGCCAAATGAGTCTCAGAAAGCAAGATTGAGTTTTGTCAGAAGAATTCTTGAAATTTTGATACAAGAAAGAAACAATGAATATTGGGCAACGACAATGGGGTTCATGTCGAAGCGGTCGTTTTGCAACGGRTTCTGTTATGCTGATTGCGTAGTGATAGTTTTGATGACAGTGGCAATGCATTAAGCATTGTTCAATGTCGAGTTTGTTGTTCAAAGGTGTGTGAACGAATTGTTTGGTAGAGTCATGTGATGAGGAGAGAGCATGCCTAAAAAATGATAACCATGGTGGTGATAATTTTTTTTGAAGGGTGTCATAACCTGAGGGAGTGACTATCTAATAGTGATGTAAATCATGTGCTAGAAGAAAAGTGAGTCGATGCTCTTATCAAGGATTGGCAAACTATGAAATCTAAAACTGGTGATCAAAATGAAGATCGAGTGATGTGTGGATCAAATGAGTCAAGTCACTCACGCTAGTGAATCAACTAAGTCATGTCGATCATATGGATCCATAGGATCAAGTGAGTCATATATGTATGGTGTGTATGAATCATAAATATTTGTCATATGTATGTGTCTTAGATATGAATCATACCCACAATCTGATATCCTACAGACAGCATTTCTTGAATCAGAATATATTTTATGAAATGTTTGTCAYGAAGCAATAATTTGTTGTTTGTGTGTAAAATTATCAGTTTTCATGAGAAGCTTGAAGAGTTGTTGTCAAAGAAGAGTTTTAYGGCAATGTGTGTTGGTCTTGTGAAGTGAAATGGTCTTGAGTGTGGGAATAAAAAATTAGATAAATGCGCGATTGCATGAGCATRGGATTTATTTTTAACGCRCAAGTGGGAGCTAAAAAATTGGGGTGGGATTGCTAACGCTGAATACGTTTTGAAAAGCAAGAATGGGTGYCTTGTATCAAGATTTTGATTTCRAAACCATGGGCGGCATAGGGAATGTTGAGCTTCRACAATGGTGAGTATGGTGAAACAGACAATTTTGTTCATTTYAGGCAATGAATGTCAATGCTTGGTAGAAGTTGTTGTGCTGTATATGCAATGACAATCTGGTGTTGAAAGGTGTGTGAACATTTGAGTTTTGGTAGAKTCAAGTGAGGAGAGAGCACACCTTAAAACAGATCACCATGGTGGTGATAATTTTTATCAGAAGGGTGTCATAATCTGTGGGAGTGGCTATCTAGTAATAGTGATGTAAATTTTGTGCTAGTAGAAAAGTGAGTTGATGCTCTTATCAAGGATTGACAAACTAAGAAATCTAGGACCAATCAAAATGAAGATGGAGTGATGTATGAATTGAATGAGTCAAGTCAKTCACGTGAGTGAATCAAATGAATCAAATCAATCGTGTGGATCCATTGGATCAAATGAGTCATGAATGTAGAGTTTGTATGAATCATAGGTATGTTTCATATTTATGTATCATAGATATGGTGAATCATCGTCCGAGAGATGCTTCTTAGGGTATAATTTTTGTTTGTCGCGACCATAATTTGTGCGTGTTTTTAACACGCGCGGCAAAAACTACACCCTGCTATTCCTTTGCTATCGCGCCCCCACTGTTGACCACTTTAACGGACAGTACCATTTTTATTTTTCTTCGTGACATTGAAAAAAATAATTCATTTGTGCATGTCGCGCGCACTAAATATAATTCCATTAATGAATGAAAATTTTCCAAGACCCGTAACAAATTAATATTTTGGCACGATCACATC